AGCTTGATTGGTATTCTCATGACACATTCTGGTCAAAGGGTGGGAGAATCAACAATGAGTAAAATATGAGATGGTGATATGAATAGGGTGCTAAAGTAGCAAGGGCTTGGGCTTATGCTGATTTCTGCTGGAGGTTCAGGGAAGTCTTCTCTGCAGAAGTGTTAGTAGAGCAGAGATCTGGAAGACAAAAAGGAGCTAAGCAGAGGAAGCTTATAGGGGAAGGACATTCGAGGAACAGAGAGTGCAGAGGTCCTGAAACAGAAAAGTTATACTGATGCAAGTCAAAATCATACTAGATCTATTTTAGAAGTAAAGAGAGAGGCAGTGATTTGTCCACCTCTCACAGAAGTGATAGCTAGATCAGGAGTTGCATAGAGCCGGAAGTGATAATATTTAAGAGCTTTATAGACATTTATCAAAGCAGTTCAATCCTCTAAGCTATAGAACAAAAAAATAGTTCGTCTGAACTTAATCCAATACTCTCCCTCCCCGGATCATGCATCTCACTCATTTCTCATGGCTTTCTTTACTGTCACCATATCCAGGTGGTGGACTCCTAAAAGTCTGTCTTCAGGCCAGATGTCTATTCTGAATTATAGGTTCTAGCCCGGAACCAGAAATACAAGCTCTATTTTGTTTTGTACATTACTGTGTGTCCAAAACCAAAGTACTTTCTGGCACATAGTAGATACTCAATAAATGTTTGTTTGAATGAATGAATAAATGAATTACTAGCCTGTTTATCCAAATACCTATTCAACTGGATGTGTTTACTTCAATATCCCACAAGCACATGAAGTTCAACATACCCAAAACAGAACTCCCTGCCTCTACGTTTTCTCCTCCAAACTGCCCTTTCCCTGTTTTCTCTCTCTGAGACTAGTACAAACTCCACCTGATTGCCCAAGTCAGAAACCTGGGCATCCAACTGATTTGTTCCTGTTTTTCATGCATATCTAATAGGCTTTGATGCCTCCCCAGTTCTACCTCTTTATATTTCTAGAATCTGTCTCTGCATCTATATCCCTTCTAGGTATGGGTATGCCTTGTCTAAAATCCTTATCACTTCTCCCCTAGGTTATTATAATAATAAACTAATTGTCTCATTTCCTTTTGTCTGCCCTAGATGAACCTCTATTTTGTGCAAAGCTTATGAGTGATAATTTTTAAATGTTTTTAAATTGTAAAATCTACACATTCATTCTATAGATATAGAAAGTACAGAAAAACTTTAAAAAGAGAATAGAAATCACCAATAATCTCACTATGCAAAGATAACTATAGTGTTTTGTTTCTTTGGTGCAATTCCTTTCAATAGTTTTGCTGTGCATTTATTTAAAACCAAAATTAGAATATTGTATTTAAGTTTTGAATATTTGGGAGGTTGATATTTTATTATGAATGACTTCCTACTCATTTAAATATTGTCAAATACATTTCAATGTGTTCAAATATTACATCAGTTTGGTGTATCACAATTTAATCATTTTCCAATTATTAAACATTTAGATTGTTTTCAATTTCATTACTATAAAACAGCCTTCAACGTGCATTCTTGTACCTAAATTTTTGTCATGTGTCTGATTTTTTTCTTATGATAAATTCCTAGAAGTACCATGATTACATCAGATTATATGAGTGACACTCTTGACGCTTTTGCCAAGGTTTCTCAGAGTAACTTAAAAATTGCAAATCTTATCATGTTATTCTCAGCTCATTAAATACATCAGACCTTTGGGCAGTCATGTTCTTTGTCTAGAACACCATAATCACCCCCTTTTAAAATGTAGCCACCTCCTAGTCGTTGCTTCAAAATTTTAGCATTAAACATATACATAAAATAAAATATCTCTGATTTAAGTGCTTCCAGTGAGTAAGACTGTAGGCTAAAAACTCACTTCATTTAATCATCACAACCATTTTGCATAGGTATGCTATTTCCAATGCCCAATAAAAAGAGGCTCTGCTAGTGAGTGGCTTATGTAGCTCAGTGGCAGAGTGGAGATTTAAACCCAGTGTATCTGATTCTAAGCCCATGTTCTTCATTGGTGTGTTTACGATTTGCTTTCCCTTTGATCTTTCTGTCACTTAGATTCCTCTTCTCTGGGTTTTCATAGTATGCTGGGCGTACCTTTGTCTTTCTGTTTGCCCATTTACCAGTCTCCCATGTTAGACTGTAAATTCCTTGAGGACAGGTACTATGTTTAATTCACAGTATTAGAGCTCAGTGAATATTCATTGAATGAATGAGGAATGAATAAACAAACACTGGTTGTAGTCTTATAACCCTGACCTTGGTTTTCCTTAATTTCTGACCTTGGTTTTCCTTAATTTCCTTTGCTGTCACTAATGATGACTTTATGAGCTTGTTGCCTTGGGGGATCACCACTCATTTCCTCTAATGTCTTGATTCCTGCTGGGGTCCTCCAACTGAGCAGTGGTGACATCATGGTCATAGGACTCCTCTGCCAATAAAGGTGGACCCCAGACAGCAGCCCATGAATCAAGCTGAGAACGATGTCAAGAGGGAGTACCAATAGAAAGTTTGTTTGCCCACACATGCTCGAGTAATTAGGGGAAAGGAAACACAGAAATAGAAGGCAAAAGCTTAATCAGAGAGAGAGAGGCCTCACTGTACAAGGCAGGAACTGGCTTTAATAGATAAAAATGAAAATGAAAAATAAAAATGTGGCATATAAACTTCAGTGGAATTAAGAGATCAGGTCCACAGAAACCACGGTTGTCCACCAGGGCTGTCTCATTGATGCCAAAACTCATTCTGTCCCCTCCTCCCAACACCTTCAACCCAAGAGCAGTGTGCTGTTTACTTAGGTACAACGGGTTCCACACCCCATGACAGGCACCTTCCACAGGGAGTTTCTGAGAGCTGCTTGGACCACATATTCCACAGTTTGGTCACCAAAGTGGCAATTATCCTTTATTTCTCCTCTCCACTGTCACCGCAAACATCACAGCATCTCTACAAATGCTACCTAAGGGTTTGTGTCACCCGCTCAGAAGAAGCAGGGTAAATACGAACATACAGGCATATTATGTGGACACACACACAAATCTGCATGCATATCCAGAGATACACAATTATGTATTTGCAAATACACATATATACTTGTACATATAATTACAAGTATAAGAGTGTACATACACATACTCTTCCACATACATAAACTAAAGGATGCACTCTCTAAGCATCTTATTTAATAAAAAAAAACTGAGTACCCACTCTGTGCTGGCCACTGTGCACCATCCTAAGGAAACAACAAAGGACAAGACATTGTGATTGCCCTCAAGGAGCTCACTGTCAATAGTTGAGATAAACATACAGTCAATCACAGAGCAAGAAGACAGTGGAAGGCCAACACCATCCAATCCAACCTCTGGGCTCAGAGTTTTGCCAGTGAAGGTGGAAGCAGACCTGGTCCTTGAAAATGACTAGGAAGAAGTAGCTACATATGCAATAGCAAAGTGTGAGTTGAGAAAAATTGCAGGCAGCTCAGCATGGCTGGTTTTCAGGGGATAAGGAAAAAGGTAGGTGCATCCAAAGAAATAGAGGTAGACAGATAGGCAAGTCTGTGGGATTATAAAAGGAAGCCCATGTTGAAATTCCAAATCTAACAACATAGCTGACTTAACTCCTGTAGAATTACCTCCCCCAGAAAAAAAGCACATAGAAATGCTGCATAAAGTATAGCTCCCTCCATTGAATAAAGTGTAACATAACAATTCTTTCCCCATTAACACATGGACCAGATCAAAAGAAGTTCCATAAATCAGAACTGAAAGGAGAGTAAAACAAACACAGAGAGGCAATCCAACTGGAGAGACAAAGAAGCATGCCTGCAATGAAAGGAGAAATCTCTAGCAAAAGAACCAAATGAAATGGAGGCAAATAATCTACCACATACAGAGTTCAAAACACTGGTTATAAGGATGTTTAAGGAACTTAGGGGAAGAATAGATCAATTCAGTGAGAAAGTTGACAAAGAGCTAGTAAGCATAGAAAAAGGACATGGAAACCATAAATAGTCAGAAATGAAGAATATACTAGAAGGAATCAACAGCAGATTTGATGAAACAGAGGATCAAATCAACATTTGGAAAACAAGGTAGCAGAAAACACCCAATCAGAAGAGCAAAATAATATTATTATTTTTAAAAATGAGGATAGTTTAAGGGACCTCTGGGACAACATCGAGTGTAACACCATTGTATAATAGGGTCACCAGAAGGTGAAGAGAGAGCAAGGGTTATTTACAGAGCCAAGATATGGAAACAACCCAAATAACCAATAATAGGAGTGGATAAAAAAGATGTGTACACATATACACAATGGAGTATTACTTGGCAATAAATAAGAATGGAATCTTAGCATTTGCCACACACGGATGGACCTAGAGGGTATTATGCTAAGTGAAATAAGTCTGACAGAGAAAGACAAAGAGTGTATGATTTCACTTACATGTGGAATCTAAAGAACAAAATAAACAAACAAAACAGAAACAGACTCATAGGTAAAGAGAACAGATAGAGTTGCCAGATAAGAGGAGGGTTGTGGGGGTTGGGTGAAAAAGAGAAAGATATTAAGTACAATTGGTAATTACAAAACAGTCACAGGGATGTAAAATACAGCATAGGGAATATAATCAATAATTTGTAATAACTACATATGGTGCCAGGTGGGTACTAGACTTATCGGGGGGATCACTTTGTAAATTATGTGTCTAATCACTATGCTGTACGCCTGAAGCTAATATAAAGTAGTATGGAATGTAGACTATCATTGAAAAAAAAGGAGAAGAGACTGAGATGAGAGTAGAACTGGAGCCTCACTTGGCAAATGGGTTTCCACTGGACCCAGATGAGGCCCCCCGTATTTCCCCCCGAAGCAGTCAGGCGGCAGGGCCCTGAGTTGGGGCAAGCCCACTCACGGCGGCGGGCCTGCTCTTACCCATATATCCAAGGCAAACATCCTTCAGACATGCCAGGCTTCCAACTTCCTTTATTAGTCATGTTACGAGCTTTTATTTAAAAAGCACATTTAATACAAGTATAGTTTCGCAGATACAAGTTTTCACTTTGTATTCTACAAAAGTCTTTGAATATTATCCTCTTTACAAAATGAAACCTTACAAAAATACTGACAATGTTTTTATACAGTTTTCTCTAGTTGCAGTTATTTCTTTTATTATAAAACAATGTCTACCACAGAACTACATTATTTTAGTTGATATTAAAAAAATTAACTCAATGCTTTTTTAAGCAGCTAATGAAGTAACACAGGTCGAGACACAGTTTATAATCATAGTGGATATAGCTAAAATTGTTTCAGAAATAATATTTTACATAGTTAACTTTTAATGTTTTATACATTATTTATATAATATTTATATATAAAAATCATAGCTTGCTATAAGTTGAAATGACAGGACGGCTTCTGTGGTAAAGATGTGCTTGTGGTTGATCCGTGTAGTTACATTTAACCCTTCGAAAGGTCTGCATCCAAGATCTGAAAGCATTTCTTCCTTCCTCCTTTTCCCAAAGATTCAGTAGAAGGGGTCCCGTCTACTGCCTAGAGTGGGCCTTACATGTGAGGACACTTACAGATAGAGGATGAAAACTCTCTACGGAGATTTAGCCCACATGTTCTGCCCAGCAGAACCTACCAAGAACTGCCCTAGAGATCAACCCCAAGACAATAGTGCTTTACACAGCTTAGCAAGAGCGACTCCCACAGAGACCTCGTCAGCTCCGTTATCTGGAAGGGCAGCCTCTCAGGCATGAGACCATCTGCTACTCTGGCTCATTCTGACTTTGAGTAGCCAAAGGGTTAGTTCATTTTTCATTCTTGCCCCTTCACTCCCCCATCTCTCTCTGTTGCGGAAGGCTGCTTTCCATCAACCAGTGGCAGGCCACCCCTTGGCTCGTCTCTGGGCCCTCACAGGAAATCCCGGCGGGCACAGAGCAAGGATTTCAAGGGAAAAAGCAGTAACCAAAGCTAACCATGACTAAGAGTGTGCAAGTGCCCAGGTGATTGATGTACAACATCAGCATCCTGCAACCGATGCCTCAACATCACAGGATGGTCTGTCAGAAGAAGACAAATGAGGGCCTATACCCTCAATTTCTCCTGAAATTGTGCTATTTGTGAAATTCACTCATCCACAAAGAGTCTCCTAATCACTAATGTGAGGGACTGTGGTGCTGGCCTATGGGCCAAGAAGTGAGTGACAGGCTTTAGGTCTAAGAATCTGGATTCAGGATCTAATCATTTGACTGAGCATTTGCTCTTTCTTTATACAAATAAAACCAAAAAACAAAAAACCCCAAAAAACCAACCTTCCTGAACCAAAGTCACAGTAGAAGACAGAGTGGTGTGGACAGAGACATTAGAGGGGAGTCTCCAATGGCTATTTTCTTGCTTCAGTGCTATTTCTGACATCATGTGCTACAATGTTAATTTGAGCTTTTCTCACAGGCCTGGGATGCCTCAGGTCACAAAGGTGACTGGCAGACTCTACTCTAAACCTTTTAGTGTTTGTTCTAGAACAAGCCCGTGTTCATTAGAACATGAACACTTAGACCAATTGCACATCCAGGGTTCCGGCACTTGGTGTTAGTTTGCTGTTGTTTCCACATAGGTGAACACTACCTATTTTGGAAGGCCACAAAGTAAGACAATTTTTTCCTTTTAAAAATCAGTTGGGTAAAAAAGTTTTTCCCTACATTCTACTGTCTGATGAGATTGGAGAGCAGCAAGACCTTGCTGTCAGCAGTCATTTTACAAAAACAGCTCAGGAGGTGGGCAGCGCCTACACCATGTTGTGGTGATTGTTCCTGTCGATAATGTCCACAGGTGAGAGAATTTCCTTCCTGATAGGAGGCGGCAGGGAGAGTGCTGTCTTGGTCTTGAAGAGGTCGGACACGAAGAAAACCTAGAAGGACAAATCGGAGATCCAAATCAGAAACTGACATTTGGGGTTTGGGCACAACAAAGCAAAGGTTACAAGAATGTGGACTTTAGGAACCCAGGATCCCAAACTGTACGTCTCTGAACAGGGAAGGACCATAGAGCTCAGAGTGCAATTCCTACTGTACAGATAGGGAAACGGAGGCCCAGAGAAGGACTGTGGCATGCCCCAGGTTGCACAGCTATGATAGGAATGGAATCTAGTTCTGCCGACTTGAAGCCCAGTGCTCCAGGTCTTCAACCCCCACTTCCTTATTTCTCAAGGCAAACAAGCAGCAGTGAAAGATAAGTTCCCAAACAAAGGAAGCAAGTTCTAATTGGTCTGTCATTAATCCATGATAATTTCCCTTGCCTCACAAAGGGCTGTAGGGTGTAACCAGAAGACAGCAACCACTATGAATTCCTATCAGCAGGAGTTGGAGTAAGGAAGCAGTTGTGACCACTTTTCCTGACATCAACAATTTGACAAGGGTCAAGAAGCTAGGGTCTCGTTGCTGAGGGAGTCAGCAACTAACCCAGAGGAAAGGTCACCGAAAACTCGCCTATCGTGTCTTTCAAGTCCTTCCTCCTTCTGAGCATGCAACCTCACCGAGTCTCTCCTGAATCACTGAGAAACATTTACTGAACACACACTTGCAAGGGTGTAAAGATGGCTCAGGCATAGCTCCTGTCTCAACTAGCTTCTGACAAAAGATTCAAGAACTTGACGAGTTACTAGAGTAAGAAAAATTTATGCTTTGTATTAGATGGCAAAGTAAATACAGACATCAATTTAGGCCATTTAGCAACAGGAGTCTGTATTAAGTAGCAATAAGCGGCACCTATCAGTCCTGTAATTTAATAGGAAACATGTGGCTGGGTTTCAAACTGGGGAATAAAACACTGTCAAAGTTCCTCTGACAGCTTTCTGGAGGGAAAAAGCTTTGTCCTGCAGAGGGGAATGGTCTTGCTATTAATGATGGCACTCTGACTTCAGTCTGGACACATTTTAGGCAAGAAAATGAAGTTTATAATAAAACTTCACCAACATCATGCTCTAGCAGCCAGGGACAGGACACACTAAGGACCTGGAGCATTTGTTGAACCAACTGCCACAATGTCCCTTCTGTAGTAATGCAACAAGCAACAAAGTGCTACAAAAACCACAGCAAGAAACCAGTGACGCTGATTAACCCAGAAGAACTGGGTGGCTAGAAGACAAAGTATAGCAGAGACTGACTCACTGGTCACCACTAAACACTTTACACCCTTTCAAATTTTGTATGCATCACATCAATTGTTTCTACATATTACCTACTGAAATATTTAATTACTATTTTTGGGGGGTTTTTTTGTTGTTTTTTGGGTTTTTTTTTTGTAAAAACAAAGGCCAGGCTAATCCTATGCCACTATAAGAAAGTGCAATATTAGCCAAGAATTGTAAGATTATAATACATTTATAGCCTGAGTGCTCTCGAATGTACCATTTGCAAAGGAAAAAAATCCAGCCTTGCACCCCTGTCTTTTCTAGGGAGGTATGAGCAATGAGAACTGAGTGCAGGAAGGCCAGTCTCCGAGCCAGAGCCAGACCCGAGAACCAGGAATGAAAAGGCCTGAACTGGGCCCAGCCAGGAGGCTCCAGACTCCTCTGTGCAGGAACCTTTATAAGTGCTGGGAGAAGGGGTTCTCACGTGCTCTGATGAAGAAATACTAACAAACATGATTGAAGTTAAATGTGGAGATAAATAAACTTTAAAAAAAAAGATTTTATTTAGTTATTTTTAGAGAGGGAAGGGAGAGAGAAAGAGAGAGAGAAATATCAATGTGCGGTTGCTGGGGGTTATGGCCTGCAACCCAGGCATGTACCCTGACTGGGAATCGAACCTGTGACACTTTGGTTCACAGCCCGCGCTCAATGCACTGAGCTATGCCAGCCAGGGTTGAGATAAATAAACTTTTCAGCACTCCTCTGACAGGGTACAAAGCCCATGTCCTCATCTCTACCTGGAAGTTACCTTCCCCTCCCTCCTTCACTTTGTCCAGAGGAAGGTTTTGATCAATCCCTCCATTGCTGGGTTTCAACTCCACGTCTTCCAACCCGGGAGCTTATTCTACCAAATGAGCTTTTACCACTGTCATTTGAGAGGTCTTTCCCCAGCCTCCATCCCACCTGCTGAGGGCAAACAGAGCAGGGGACAGTCTCTCCACCCCCAAATAAATACCCCCCTCCAAGACCCTGGAACCACCTTAGTCTAGTGGCTTCTTTCCCAATTTAATTTCCTGAGCATATATCTACCGCATACAAAGGCTTCCATTTCTGAACTGCAAGACAGGAATAACAGAGGGTGCGAGGCAACATGTGCTTGAGAAGACCTAAACCTACGTCCGGTACATAGATCAATAAAAGGCGCTCCTTTCTGTAATTCCCTGGGCACCAAAGTGATCACTGAACCTAGTGATGGCCATGCCCTCTCATGTCTCCAGGACTTTGGAGATCAGCCTTAACTCCTAGATGGAAGGCTTCTTGAGAATAGAGCCTCGGACCTAATCACCCTATATCACCTAAAGCACTCAGCACTAAGCCTTGCATACACCAGGGGCTCAACAAATGTTTGTTGTTAAATTTCTAACCTCCTCTCTACTGAAAGCAAGCACTGTGGCCTTGGATCTTATCAGCACATTTAACACCTCCGGACCACATCCTCACACACCACACGCACACAGCCCAGTGGCCAGATGAAAAGTTGAGTCAGGTCCAGCAGAATCCTCCCCCCACCCTCAGCCCCACCCCTGAAGCTATATTTCACTTGCAGTGTGGCTTGAGGTTATACAAACACTTTTTCGGGATCATGAAACATGATCCTGTCAAGCCTCAAACAGGGCTCAGTCTTCCTAATGCTTGGACAGCAGAACACACAAAGGACTAATAAGAGTGAAAATGTCTTGACTTGGAGCAGTTCCATTTCCTGCAGAAGATGATCTCCACCCAGAAAGAAAACCCAGGCACCCAGGCTGGGGAGGGTCTCTAAAAATTAGGTAGCTATCTTCGGTCTATGGAACACATCCACTCCCGGCCCCAGTCCCACTCTACAGATCTTCCCCCCTTGATGCAAGAACATATCAGACAATACATAGTCTCAGCAAACACAAAATCTATATCCGAAGCCCCAGGAAAACTTGTAAGTTAACCTACCCCAATACATGATTTCAATTCCATCTCTCCTTTTGTTTGCATTTTATACATGCATGTTTTCTTGAAAAATGCAATCAGTAGACACTTATTGAACATTAGCTCTGTGCAAAGTCCTGAGATTATAAAAATAAATATATGCAAGGCAGTGTCCTTTGCCCTATAAGAGTTCACAGGGCAGTGAGAGACATCTGGGTAAATAGGCCACTACAATTGCAGAGTTTTAAGGATTATGATACGGGGAAGCCAGGTGTTAAAGAAGCACAGAGAATGGCATCTAACCTAGGCTGAAGGGGAGGAGAGAGGGTCTTAGAAGGCTTTCCCCAGAGGAGGTATATTTGAGCCTAGCTTTGAAGGATAAGTAGGAGGTAGCCAGGTGGTGAGTGCCAGGAATTTTGTTCTAGGCAAAGGGAGCAGTGTGTGCAGAGGTGCAGCGGTGAGTACAGCACATTCAGGAGTGGCAGGAAGCTCAGCATGGCTGGGGCCAAGCAGTCAGTGAGGTTGGGGAGGAGACAGCCAGATCTTCAGAAGCCTCCTAGGATGTGTTAAGGAACTTGGACCGTATCCTATTGGCCTTTGGAGCCATTGTCAAGGCTGAATCAGGAGAACAGTGTGTTGGGAAGCCTTGCACTAAGACTGTGATGGTATCTAAGATAGAGAAGGAGCTGGAAAGGGTGCAGAGAACCTGTGGGCAGGGGTACTAGTCAGGACACTATTGCAGAATCTGGGAGAGGATGAGTCCTCAACTATAACCATGCAGTACAGACAAAGAAGAGGGGATGGTTTTCGAAATGTTGAGGACGGAACTTCAGTGGGTGGACGTGGTGTGCATGTGTTGCAGGGAGAGCTAAGTTTCTCTCCACTCCTGTTTTCACCTCTACAAATCTTTGTACTTGTTCCCATCAAAACTCTTAAAGTTTAGGTAACTGCTCTAGTGGAAAAAATTATAGCTCTGCTTTCCTCTGCCTTCTCATATTTTGGCTCCCTCTGATTTTGGGTTGGGGAAGTGGTTCTGCCCTCCTCCTGGGTTGCAATGGTAGGCTGTCCTGTGATCCACTTTGCTCCAGCACTCAGGACAAGGGAGACCTTCTGTCAGAGCAAGACTACACACAAACAAGGCAGCTGCAGGCTGGAGGGGTCCTGTTCACTGTGACGAGGAGCTGAGAAATGCACAGGGAGTCCCCTCGCAAATGACGACTATCACTATTATACCACTGGGCTGCCATCTCCCACTCCCCACGGAACACACAACACACCTAAATGAGGGATCCATTACCTACCTCAGAGGCTTGCTCAAAGGATTATACGACATAACCAAAGGCACAGGTGCAGTGTGTTGCCCAGTGCCAAGTGAAAGGTTAATAAATGGGAGCCATTTCACTGGTTTGTGTGTTTAGCACCTACCTCCACAAATCCCTCCTTTTCCCTTTCCCTTGTATGGAAAGAGAAGAAAGAAGAGAAAGGATGAAAAGAAAGTAAAAGGAGAGAGGAGAAAACAGGAACAACTGAGAATATGAATGGACACATGAAAGCCAGGTTTAAACTGGACACGAAGATTGCCGGCCAATGGGAATTTTCTGTAGGACTTGCTGTCAATGTCCTATAATTTCTGGGACTATTCTGGAGAATGAGTCAGCACAATCAAAAAGAAAGAAGCACGGATGTCTTCTTGTCAGCATTCTCCGACTCCAGGGCTGCCAGTTGCCCCTCCCGCAGGGCCCACACGCTGGCCCTGGGATCTCCTTTCGGCATCCTACTCTAATGGGATAGGCAATGTACAGATTAAGGAATGACTT